GCTGCAATAACCTGTTTGCGCATCTTGGGCACGTTGGGCCGCTAACGCTATGAGTTGTTTCTCTTTGCCCGAAAGCGAGTCGCCACACGTTGCACACGCGTACGGCAACCTGTACGGCACTTGGACGTCATTGTTCCCACCTCGCATCCCAGCTAAAAGTGCGGGATGGCAAGGATTCAAGTAAGGATGCCCGTACGGACCATGAAGGGCCCCTAACCGATTCTTACGACCCGTTAGACTGAAGCCATGAGATTGGAGCTGGCATGGGCAAAGCACTTTCGCAGAGTCAGACAGCCACTGATCGCGTGGAAAGTCTGATTTGCATACACCCATGTTTTCTTTCTTCTGGCAGCCTCGCAATGGCATGCGTTCGCCAGTTTCCACGTTCAGCGGGTGGTAATGATGCTGCTTCAGATACTGCAACTTAACGACGTCATGCTCCAGGTACTCTTGCCCCCACAGTTCGGCTTCGGTCAGATCTCTGGCCCCTTGCGCCCGTCGCTGCTGATATCCTGGGATTGTCGTCATATGCGCGTCCCGCGCGTGCTCGGGCCACGTACTTTCTGCTCCTTCTATGCCTTCACGAATGCTGTCCTGGCCTTGGCCGCTGTAGACAGCATGCGCAACGTGCGCTTGATACTTGCAGTATTCTTGCCGCAACGCTTCTAATCGCAAATGCGGAAGCTGGAAAATTTCTGTTAGCGGCGTGTGTTGGTGCAAGCACTGAACAAAACATTGCATGTGCCCATGTAATGATCCAGTGGACTTCTGGGCTTCAATCGTGACGTATATGGCATCGACGCGTCCAAACACTCCGCCGAACAGGCTCGCGTTGCTGCCAGACGTGTCGCTGCATGGGGTTGCAGTCATGTCACAGTCAGGGCAGTGCTCGCACATTCGCACGCCAAAGATGTGCCGACAAAGCAACCGCAGTAAAACGTGAAAACCATCAACAGAGGCCAAGGGATCACGGGCCAACAACGCACGGCGCTGCTCCCAGGATGGAAGCGCGCGACAAAATTTTTCGAGATGGATTGGGAAACAAAGGTCGCCATCTAGCGATGGGAACTGCCGATCTCCTGAGCACCGCTCCTGCCACACCGATGCGCTGCGCACTGGATCGGATGCGCGCGTTCGCGACATGCGAATGAAGAGCCACTGGTGCGCCTCATCGGGCGACACCGTGATGAACAACGGCACGCCGTAGCGGACCCGCATCGCTTCAATTTCAAAACGCATTTGGCGTCTTGCTTCTTGCGTTCCTGGCAAGCTGCGGGCCGTATGCTTCATATTTTTCAACAGCTTGCGCGCGGCGGGGCGCAGATTTCGAACGTATGCCAACTTGGAGACGTCGCCATTCACGGGTCGAAGGTTTCCACGGACATCCGCATACGTTCCACTCAAGGCATTCAGTAATTGCAAGGCGCCGGCTTCAACTTCTTCGGCACGCAGGGCACGAAATTTTTGTTCGGCTTCATCAAAGATTGGCGCGTTGTATGGGGACAGATTCCGAGACAAATTGATTGCCGACCGGAAATACAAATTCCAACTCGTGAATCCGAACGTCCAATCCCGATTGATTTGAGATTCACAGCGCCGGGCCATGCAACGCATCCAAGTTGCGAACTCGACACGCAAAGCATCCGGTGGACGGCGGTGCCGAAGTTTGGGACTCCAGCTTGGCGGATCCGGCATTCCACTTCCATACGGGAAGAGAAAAGCAAAGGCAAACGCGAAATACCACGGTTCAAATTGACCCAACAAACGATTGCCGGTGTAAACCACCGCCGTGGTGGTTTCAGCTCTGCACGCCTCGCGTGTCTGCACCACGGCCTGCAAGGCTGCCACGTGCGTTGCATTAGGATCAGCGAAGCCGCCGCTTGTACGCTCGCTCACTACAGCGTTCGGCTTGCACATGTACGCAAACTCGGCTTGCACGTCTGCTTCCGACAACATGGCCCGGGTTGGCGTTGCTGCTTTTTGGCGCTGCACGTTATCCAAGTCTGTGTCATGAGGCAACCAAGCGACGATCTCTGCTGGGACACCATCTTCTGGCAGCTGTTCGGCACGCTGCACTACTTCGTTCATGTTCAGAAAGTTGTAGGCAGGGTGTTCCCGGGCCTTCGCATCGGCAATCAGCTGCAGCACGACGGCCCGCCGCACGCGAGCTTGGTGAATGATCTTTGTGGCGTCATCGCGTTCGGACAGTGGTCCTCCTGCTTTGATGATTACGTTGATTACCGCAGCCAATTCGACCCCAACTTTTGGTAGGCGTATTTCTCCCGCAGCTGCTTCTGTAGATGCTGCTTGCAAGTTTTGCAATAACTCTTCCCACGCTAATGGGAAGGTTGTGGCATTCCCTCGGGCAACCAAACGGTTCCGATTCATGAACGCATCTTGATCCAATGCCCGGTCTCCTAGCAACTTCTTCTCCAAACTGAAGCAAGCCATGGCAGTAAAACACGGGCTGGCGCACACTAATTCCATGAAAGTAACTTCTTCCTTGTAAATCATGCGGGGCGTATAAAAAACTAACATGTCGTTCGCCAACGCCAGCCTGGACGCCTCTTTTGCGCGCAAGCTGTCCCGGCAATGCATGCATACTGGCGCCCAGCACGCCGAGCAGATCCGACCAGGGGGGCAGCGCTTTGCGCAGACTTTGTCTTCAGGACAACATATTATCGACAAATTTTGCCCATCAAGTTCGACATCAGCGCACCAATCTTGCAACTCGGCGCGCAAGCGTTCTCGGACTGTTCTCCCGTATTGCATGGCATAGGTGCTCCAATACGTGTCTAAACTCAGCCATCGTTTTGTTTCTTCCAAAGACAGGCCAAGAAAATGCGACTTCCCCGCCAATTGTTTCCATTGTATGCGATCGCCCTCGCCCATGGCGTCGGCATACGGAAACCGGCGCGCGCAAAGTAAACAATGCCGGCCCCGATCTTGTCACCGCTTTGCGAGTCGCGATACTGCCGCAGACAACGCCTATCAATGGCAATGTGAGCTGTGGGTGCATCTTGCTGGCATGCCCAGGTTAAACCTGCCCGGTATGCTTCCAACATCTTTGCCTTGGTTGCTGGTTTGGATGCCAAAGGTTCCAGTGCCCGGCGATGCTCTTGACAAACATGTTCTTCAAACGCTTCCGCTAGCTCCGACTCAAAATTACACCCTTCGAAAGAACAAATGTAATCCGGCAAATCGAAAGCCGCATTTCGTGTTGCTATAGCCATCCAATGGGGCAACGTGGGTTTCTTCCGAAACTGTTTTCCCAACGCCTCTAACACCATGTCACCCTGGGCTCGTGGGTCAGGGTTTCTGTGTGTAGCGTGCCATGTCCGCAAAATATACTCATCGAGTGCAAGGCCGTGATCCAATGCATCATCTCCTTTGACATCGTTCCTTGCTAGACCTTGTTCGGGCGCCGGCTGTTTTCCGCGTAACCTTTTCCGAGGCAAACCCAGGCCTTCAGCCAGCGGCCTCTTGGCCGCTGCTTTCTTCCCGGTGCTGCTTGCATCCTTGTCGGTAACCTCCGTTTCCGATAGTTTCTGCCGATTGCTTGCCACAGCTTCCTCCACCTCCATAGCCTCCGCCTCTGCGGCCGGTTCCACTTCTTTCTTCCCGCCCTTTCCGCTCATCGACTCGCCTAATCTTTGCCCGGGACCTTGGGTGTATGTTGCGTAGTGCGCGCGCCATTCCCCAAGCAAGCGTCGCGCAGCATGCATGCCCGCATCCATGTACGTTGTGTTCGCCTGCAATAGCATATGCAGTTTCACCGAGCATCTCTCCGCATCATCCCAAGCTTCCATGATGTCGCGAGCGTCTTGCGTGTTCACGTTGATGCCAGTGCCGCGTGACCGGAAAAATCCGTCCAAGGCCTGATGAACTCGTTGCAACTCCATGCTAGGCGGTCTGTGGCCTCGGTCTTCGTGCCTCGATCCTTCATCTTCGGTTGTGTGCGCTTGGCTTCCTCTCGCACATGATTTTCGTTGGTTCCCACTCTGCGCCACGGCACCAACCAACGCGTCAAAATGATAGCCTTGTCCTGTCGGATCTGTGTGATTGTACACATGCAGCGTCTGGCGTTCATACACGACGCGGTCACCCCAGGTGAAATCCACGTGCGACAACTCTGTACTTGCCATGCCCAACTCTCCGTGATCCATGCAATCATAAAAAAACACCCGAAGAGAAACATCAAGCTTCCACAGTCGTCGCACGAAGAAATCGAGGATACGTGGTGTATCCCGGTGCCCATCCAGGTACACACCACGGGGGACCCCGTGTCGCACACACAAATCTTCTCGACATGTGGCACATAGCGCTTTGCGTTCGGCCATGGTGTATTCTTGTGGAGTCAAGCCTTTGTTAACGAGGCACAGCAAAAGTGAATCGATGAGGCAGTTATTGACACCATGCGACGATGCAACTTTGAGGTGCAAGCCGCGAGCAGTCAATTCCTGCAACCGACATGCATTGGTCATCATGTTTCGGGGCATATTGACGCCAGCGATCTGCAGCAAACGCTCTGCGACGTTCCTGGCAACAGTGTCCGACCCATCCGCCTTTAACTCTTCCCAGCCGTGCCAGGTGTCCACCCAAGATTGGTTCAGCACTGCAGTGACGCGCTTTTCGTCTTGCAGAACCGACAAGCAGATTGCAGCTACGAGCTCTTTCGCTTCTGGTGGCGGGCCACCCCCGCAAAATCGCTTCGGCAAACGTTGGGTCGGCAGAGCGACACTGCACGCTACCACTCCGCGACCGAGACCTACACCATCGTCCACACTATCACTGTTGCTTTTGTTCCAGCTTGCAGCAGCAAGGTCCACAGCAGGAATAAGGACAACAGCAACAGCAACAGCAACAGCATGAACAACAACAACAACAACAACAACAGTACCAACACCAACACCAACACCAAGACCACCACCACCAACAACAACAACAACAACACCAACAACGACAACGACAACTACAACTACAACGACAACTACAACAACAACAACAACAACAACAACAACCACAACAACCACAACAACCACCACAACAACAACAACACCAACACCAACACCAACACCAAGACCAAGACCAACAACAACAACAACAACAACAACAACCACAACAACAACAACAACCACAACAACAACCACAACAACAACAACAACACCAACAGCAACACCAACAGTAACACCAACACCAACAACAACCAGGACAACAAGAACAACAACACGAAGAAAAAGGCGCAAACGAAAACGCGAGAGAAGAAGAACACACGGAACAGCAGGATTAACGAGAACGTCCACATCCAGGTTGCCTTTCTGCTCGATAGTCCTGCGGACCAGCAACAGTGCCAGCATGTGCCAACCATGCTGAAGTACACTCCATGCAGCCTTCCATGCGGGTGGTCGGTGCATGCGGCCTACCAAGCTGGCGGTAAATGCACGAGGTGCCGATTGGCACTGTCTCCCACTAGGGATGCCCTTTCGGGCACGGGCTAAACCCGCTATGTGCCAATCAGCACCTCGTGCATTTACCGCCAGCACGGTAGGCCGCATGCATTTCCCGCCCGCATGGAAGGCCGCATGCAGTTTACGCCAGCATGGTTGGCGAGCACGACTCCCGTGGCCGGTCCACATCGCTATCGATGCACTTGAGCCTTCAAACTTCAAGTCATTCAACCTCTAAGTCGCTAAGTTCAGCAAATCTCAGTCGTTTTGTGCCCAAAAAAAAAAAGAGTCTATCAGGTCCGTCGCCATTTTCTTATAAATTGTCACCATGTGTCAAGCTTTCCAGAGCTCTCCAAGGTTATGCTGGCTCACCGGGTAACCCCAAAAACTTCGTTCTCCTCATTCGATCTACGTTGAGTCACAGAACTGGATGTCAATGCCGAGATTCTTTTTGAACATCGTCCAATTCAAGAGAACCACATCAATGTCTAGACACACAGCTGGTTGCTGTTGTCGAAAAAGGTCGAATGCCAAAATATCAACTTTAGCGACTGCTTTCGCATTTTTCCCAACTTTATCCGAGCTTTTCCCATGTTTCCCGACTATACTGGAGAGGCTTTGCTCGTCCCGTCTTAGGTCAGCAGCGGGCCATGCTTGGCCACCATTAGCTCAGGGTATTGGCCTATTTCAGCCATGGTTCAACCTCAGGAAAAATGGACCAAGTGCACGGGACACTCGAAAGACCACCCGAACTGGAGGCTTGGATAGTTGAAACCACCGTTTACAGTAGATTTTCACCCAGGAATCCAGAACCATGATAATTAAGGTGGACACTCCAAATCAGAAGTACGCGAAAAAAAATGATCTTCCATCTTGTGTATATATATATATGTGTGTGTGTGCGTATCATTATAATGTTGTGGTTTTGTTTTTGTTGCTTGCATGCATTCTACATAAGACAAGAAATGTGCTACGCAAGTGGTGTAACACCACCTGTGTTCAAGTTCCCCACCTTTTTGACCGAATGTACACGGGGACCGTCTCCCCAGTTGTACTTTGACCGAAGGTACAACATGTTTGCAATCAGCTACGGAATGTATGAAACATGCCTGGATATATTCCATGTATTTAGACTTAGTAAATTCAAGCCCCTGGGCAGCACGCGGCTTGAAAATACGTCAACTTTCTATATATCGCTTTATGATATGGAAGTCACTTTCCATAGTACACCAAATCACCAGATTATGCCAGATCCATGTGCCTGGCCAAGAGGCTTGGAAGGGAGCTGTGGTCGCGATACAGGCACTGGCGGCCTACCATCAATGGCTCTGATTCAAGTCATTCAGGGTACCAATTTTGTGTGTTGACAAGATGAGAAAAAGACTTCTTCGGGGCAAAGGTTGCGGTGCAATAATTTTGACCCCCAAATCGTATCCTCCAATTTGGTGTTTCGTTTTTCCAAAAATCCATGTTACCTGTTCTGTATATTTCTGTATCGTGGTCTGTCCTCCTAGTCTAAAACCGAAGTTTGCATCCTGATTCTGATATGGGGACTATTATTGAAGAACATTGCCAATAATTATACCTGTGGCAAAGCCAACACTATCCCCGGTAAAAGATATTTTTTTGGACACATGTGGATATTTATAGGAATCAAAAAACAAAGATCCCATACATCAATCGCGTTGACTTGAATTGTCAATTCAAATGACGATTTTCTCTAGTGCCATGTTTTATACCCTACTAATTGGATATACCTCTTAAATTTACCAACACTTAAATGCTCGTGATCGGCATCTCAGCTTCCAAATTCAACACGCGTAGATGTTACGATGGGTCTGGCTATTCAATGGAGAAAATGATCATCAACCAATGGATTTGCAGATGCCGTATTTTCTGACAAACCCAGATGCAATGGAAAATGCAACGCTTGTGCATGTTTTGCCTTTCTCTCTGGTAGTTTTTACACTGCCTTAGGAAAACCCCTTAAGCATCATCCGTTGATAGCATGGTGATTTCCCATAGTTGTTTTAGTTTACCAGAGGGTAAATCA